TCTCGGCAACTCCCCTGAGCTCTCCCGAAGCAGCAGCAGAGTCAGTTTACAGGTTGCCAAGATGTCAAACAAGACATACAGGACATTTACCTTCAAAATGGCAAACACATTTTCAAATCAAAGCGACCCAAAGACAAGACTCTCACTGCCCCAAACGCCTTGATGTAAGAGCTCGGGGGCCCTTTGTTTATGCTACTTCGGCTGGCGTTCAGCCACGTGAATAAAAGAAAAATGCTGGACTGATTTTCTGTCTAAGGCTGCAGCATCATTAATTGTTTCAGAGCCGTTTCAGGTCTTGGCAGATGGCTGAGAAGGAACTGAATTTCTGACATTTTTAATTAAAATGTAACCCCTATTATTATGGGATTAATAGATCTATAAATATAGCTGCACAATTTTAATGTGCATTTTGTAAGAGGCAAATTCTGGACTCTTTGTAGATCTAACTAAGAAAGCTGAAAGCAGGTGAATTCATGTTGGTAGCTTTTGTAATTTTATTGCTACTCTTACAATAGCAATGCATTTTTTTCTGAACGCTGCTCCTACAGTAAAGAAAATACAGCGAGAATGCCATCTCCACTTTTTTTTCCCCAACAGATCCATATTCCTAGCAAAGTTTGCAAAGGAAAGTGTTCAAATCCATCAAACCAGAAAGCAAATATTAAGGCCCCCAGAAGCAGAGGTATGTATTCATACATGCAAATGCCACACTTGGGGTGACTGGGTCCTTGGGCTGCAAGAATACTTTTTAACAGAGGGAAACCTCTTTTCACTAAGGTTAATCTGAACCACCAAGACTTCTTTTCCCCTCCCTGGATTTTGGCCAAGACAGTTTTGGCCAGCAGTGAAGGAGGCATGTGCTCAGCTGCCTTGTCTGCAAACCTGCTCTATGCCCTGAGGCCAAAGAACCGCTCCCCACACCTGTTCCCACCATGGGCACACTGGAGTGGCTTCATTATACCACAACCCTAGCTGTGCTTCTGACCATGACACCAATTACATCTCTTCCCATCTGCTGCAAAGGACCCAACCAACCTTCCTTCAGGCCGTATTTTGATAGCCATAACTTGTTACAGAGAACACGGGGCCCTTCTGCCCCCTACCACGTGTGCCCAAATGCCATAATGGTCTGTAAAAGTGAGGGGCTTTGCACACCAGTTGTTCTGTTAAAACTGGGGAGAATAGTCAAGGCACTTTCTGCCTCATGGTCTAATTTTTGTGATTTAATAGCTTAGAATGAGTTTTCACATGACTCTAGCAAAGGGTGTGCATAGTTTTCCCCTTGACTAGCACAAGAACAGAAAAGCCACAGTCTGTCACATCTCTGTGAAGTCCAAATGTGTCACTCTGAGTGCCAAAAAGCTGGATGTCATTTACTTGACAAGCTTGGGACCCTCACTCATGTCTAGTGCTTTTGCTGCTTCACAGATATCCCACTACATTTTGGTGCAAGCACTGCTTTGTGCAGGGGGCCATATCCTCACCTTCACTCTCCTGCTGAGGGCTGAAAGGAGGGAGAAGACCTTATGGCACAGACACCCTGCCTGGAAAAGACACATGGAAGAAAATGAGCTAAATTACAGTTGGACCGAGCTGCCCCTCAGGTTCCTACATGTGGATGGGCCACAGAGAGTGACCCCACAGTGCGGTGCACCACATCGGCCCCACGGGGGAGACCACCAGTGCTGCAAATGGGCATAACCAGACATTCCTGCCCAAGGCAGTCCCTGCAGTTTGCTGTTTGTGCCCCTTCCCACACTGCCCTCTCCCAGCTATCTACACGCATACCAGCATGGGCAGTGGCTGTAACATGGATGGCTTCCTGCTCTGGGCCACCGCAGGGGTGGAAAGTGATCCAGGCTTGTTTCTGTATGGAGACATGGGTGTGAGGGACAGGAAGGCATAGCCAGGGAGAGGAAAAGGGCAAAGGTGCTTTTTTCCAGCGGATGAATGATGGGTGACCCTGCATGACCTTGCCATAATTAGGTTATCTCCACACTAGCAAGCAGCACAGACTATGAGGAGCTGGTCTGAAGAGGTAACTCATTGCTGCTAATCTGCACGCCAAGTGCGTAGATGACTAAGCAGGAAGGCTGAGGCAGAAGAGATTTGGGACTATTATTATTCTCCATTCTTTCCTACGCCTCCAAACTGCAAATTACCACTTGGATTCCCTTACTCACAGAAACAGAAGGCAATTGCAAGGTGTTTCAGAGAGTTTGGATCCTGTTTCTGCCAGATGCCCCAGAAACAGCCTCTCAGAATCTTGTTTTGGGACCTGTGGGGATGTCCACAAGGTTGTGGCTCTGTCCAGTGTTTCAAGAGGAAGAAGGACAGGGGTGCACTCTCAGCACATCTGATGGTTTAAAACTTCATTGGATGTTTCTGAACAGCAGCTACTCACTGGGTACACTACTTTCCAAAGTATGGCATGTTTGCGTATCCTCCAATGATCTGCAGGGAAATAATTACTCCAGAAATCTCTGTTATTCTCAGTTTGTGAATGTCATACCAACATTGCTACTCTGAAGGGTAACATACATTCAGGGTAACAGGTTAATTCAAAATTATTCATTTCTACAACAGAAAGTGATGCAACACAAGCTGCATTACTTCAAATTGTGGGATTACTTTTTTTAAAAAAACGTGTTGCATCTCCCTTATGAGGAGCAGCTGAGGGAGCTGGGTGTCTTTAGCTTGGAGAAGAGGAGACTGAGGGGGGACCTCATTCATGTTTATAAATTTGTAAAAGGTGAGTGTCAGGAGGAAGAAGCCGGGATCTTCTCTCTGATGTCAAATGATAAGACAAGGGGAAATGGGAGCAAGCTGGAGCATAGGAGGTTCAATCTGAACATGAGGAAAAACGTTTTTACTGTAAGGGTTACAGAGCACTGGGACAGGCTGCTCAGAGAGGTTGTGGAGTCTCCTTCTCTTGAGACATTCAAAACCCGCCTGGACGTGTTCCTGTGTGGCCTAGTCTAGGTGATCCTGCTCTGGCAGGGGGGTTGGACTGGATGATCTTTCAAGGTCCCTTCCAACTCCTAATATTCTGTGATTCTGTGATTATTATGAAACAAATTTGGCCTTATTCTCTGGCTCCTCACACCTACCCACTGGTCAATGCAAGGATGGGAACGACAGATGCTAAGTACTGTCACATTGGGATGACAGCACCATACAACAGCTTTGTGCTAGGGTCAGCCATTTTAAAGAGGTGAGGCAAGGGGGTGCCATCCACCGAGGGTGCCCAAAACCCACCTCCACCCCACCTTACCTGGGCTGGGGCACTGGAGGAGAGGTGGGTCAGTTCTCCGATCCTGGCAGCCGCCCGCGGGTCACTGGAGCTGATGAGGACCGGGGCGCTGATCTCCATGGAGTGCCGGTTGCTGGCAGCCTGGGAGGACTTGTGCGTCACGCTGAGGGCGGTGAAGGAGTGGCGCTTCTTGGCGTTCTTCTTGCCCTCCACCGGCCGCTGGGCTGCCCCGGTTGCCCCAGCCACCCCGGCACCAGCCAGCGTGGAGCATGGTGCCAGACCTGCTGCTGCTGCTGCCGCCACCCCCCATGTTGCACGTCGCAGCCGGAGGCGGCAGCCGAGCAGGTCTTGTCCATCTCGATGAGCTGCTTGGCGGATTCGTTGAGCTGTGTGCAGAGGAAATTAAAAAGTTAAAAAAAGATTTTAAAAAGAAAAGAAAAGAGGACATCAGTGACCCAGATGGCACCTGCTGGACCTGACAGGGCTTTTGTCCCTGAAGCACCATGCTCCTTTCCTCATGGCCTACCCTAGCCCTGGAAGAGGGATGCTGCTGAGCGCCAAATCGTGGCAGCTGCCCCTCGGGGAGGAAGGGAGTTTGCCACCTGCAGGGCTCACCGTGGGGTGACTCTGCCCTGGCAAATGGGGTGCTCAGGACAGGTCCCAAACCCAGCCTGGCTTCATAATCCATCTGTCACCTCTTAGTTGGCAAGGCAGGTCCCCAGGAGGCACACTAGCACACTTTGTTTCCCAAAACCTGCCCCAAACCTTCCACAATACAACACAGTGTTATTGTTCATCTCCAGGGAGATGCCCAATTTATTTAATTTTCTGAAGCTGGATGAGTTATTTCCATCCACTTCTTAATGCCAGGAAAATCAAGAGAGAATAAGCATCCAGGAGAGTTAGGCTGGAACCAGGCACAGCAAAGTGGTGAACACCAAGCTATGACATTTAATAACCCATGTTCCCCAAAATAGCTTGTCCTAGGCTGCAGAAGCAGAGTTGGGGGAAGGAGGCAGGAGCCTCTTCATCAGTGTCTCGCTATTCCCAGGTTTGTTGTAGGCCCATGCTTGAAGTCTGCCACACAGGGTTTCAAAGCAGGGGTACAGTTTCCAAATCCTTGCAATTTCATCTCTCTGCCTTTCCCCTGACACAGGTTATCCAAATGCAGACACAAACTGAAGACATTTTTTCCAGGTCTATCACTTCAGCTGGGGAGGAGCATGACGGCCACTGAAAGACTTGCTCGGGATCCAGCTTGAATCTGCTGAAGGGTTTAAAACTTGGCCTACAGCCCACAGAGACAGCAGAGCACCTGGATGTTCAGGACAGTTTTCAGCCTACCATTCCTTATTTAATCCACACTCACAGGCCAAAGGACTGCTGGGTGGGACAACTCTGTCACTGAAGTCTCTTACCTCCCAGCCACCATCACTCATACAGGAAAGCTACGCCTTACACAGCTGGAGAGTTTTTAGGCTCATAGGGGTGCCACAGTCACTGATGATACATGAAGTGTGCTCTGAAGTCAGCAGGGTTTTCTGCACAGCACTCACTGCCAATAGATCTTCCCTCGAGGGGTGCTAACAGCTGAGGGAAAACGCCACAATTTGCCAGCAGACCTTTATATTAAACTAGGATGCACTGCAATATGTTTGCATTTAATGAATAAAAACAACATATGAAAAAGGGAGCCATGGCTAACGCATACGTGCTTTTGCATACGCTGCTATTCTGAGATCCATATAAACCAGAGGTGCATGTCATACTATTCTGGCCCAAAACCAGGCTATTTTTGTTTCTATAACTACAGTATGAATTACAGCAGCATCCAAGAAGCTCAGCTGAGGACAAGGTCTTCTCAGGCTCTAAATAAAAATAAAGAATCGTTGCTGCTCCAAGCCAAGCCAATTCAGAAACTGATTACAAGTGAAAATAAAAGGGAAAAAGAGAGGTATGGGAAAGATAACTATAGAAGTGTGCAGTTAAACAAATGTGTAATTGAGTAGCTTTTATGATTCCAAACCAGTGTCACCATGCTGTAAATATAAATAAGAAATAGATATTGCCAGCCTGATTCCAGTCCTCCTAAGTTTGAAAGCACTTCTGGCTCCACAAGGACTCTAACAGGCACTAAACCCACTAACACCTGGAAAGTAAACATCAACTTGCAGGATCCTTCATTCAGTGACAGCTTCTACCAAGTCAACCAAGAGCCTCCAATTAATGATGCTCCACGATCATCAGAGCTGCTGGGAGTCCTGCAAGCATTCAATTAGCAGGTCATTTTCCCAGCTGCACTCTCCAACTTGAGACCATGCTTACAGCCAGCATAGTGCACTGCACCTGCCAATTTTTGCCAATAACAGCTGATCCCATTTCAGATTCTTCAAGAATGTCCATTATTTCCCACTTCATCATGCTCTAAATTGGTACAACCTAATATTTGCCAGCAGGCTCCAAGTTGCAAGGAAACCAGATGGTTCCCCTCCCTTAAGTAGGTGTTACAGCTCTGCTTACCCCATTGATGGAGATAGTCTAGCTGAATTATTTGAAATATTAAGGAGAAAAGGAGAAAGGCATCAAATATGCATGATTCTTTCCTACACCAAAGGGTGAGGAAATAGTTTGCTAGTCAACCACAAGCAGAAAAAGAATACATTTTAACTGTTCTATGTCGGATAGAGTTAAAAAAAGAACTTACAACTTCCTGATTTTACAGCAATACTCCATAGAGACAATGAAGTGCTCAGCTCTTAATATCAAAACTCTGATTCCTCTTGTAAGAATTAGATTATAAATCCCACTGGCTAGAATCCAATTTAACACCAAAGCTGTTCTTTCTAAACCAACAGAATCCATTACTTTTTTTGTTCAAAGCAAAACCTAGTTAAAAAGGTCAATAGGGGAGCTAGCATCTAAACATGGAGTGATAAAAAATAGCCCTGTATTGATATAAACAAAGTCATTCTCAATATCAGTAGAAAATTAAAAGCAAAAAGAAAACCCCTCCCCCAAACAGTCAAGCTAATGAACTTTTTGGGAATGTCAGAGTCTTCCTGAAATACTGGGAAAAAATTATTTTAGTCTGCCAAGATAAAAAATGCTTCATAGCTTTACCACTTTATTTTTTTAGAGAACTGTTTTTAAACAGCTTTGCCATGGATGCTGGAAAGTACTTCCCAAATAGGCTATGAATACGAGAGAAATGATTCTGCTCACTACTTTGTAAAAGCAAATGGTGCTGCCTTTTCACAAAGAAATTTTAGAAACCTCTTTTTAAAACTAAACATGATTGCAAATTTCTTATTTTAAACTCTGAGAATGTAAACAAGCATTGCTTTCTGGTGTCTGTCATCCGATCTTCAGGCAGATCTGCTTCCAGAGGAGAAGCTTAGTGGAAAGTTCTGACCCACAGTCAGTCTTAGGAATTTGACATTAGTGGAAGGCTGTAGCTCTTATGACAACCCCTAATACCACAACTCAGCTTTCTCGCCCATCTTTGATCCCTCTTCTAGAAAGAACCTCTGTTTGAAATTCTGGTCCTGCCAATCCCAAATCGTAAAATGCCCTTGAGATTGCAGCGGGACTGATTTTACTCCAAATACATTCTATAACAACAGGATGCCTTAGAAAACTTGATATACTATTTAGAGTGATAAAGCTTGCATTCGAATGACAAACCAGCCAAACATTCCCAGCAGCTCCGCAATCCTGGGTCTGGGAATTCAAAACCTCATGAGGGCAAGCTTTATAACAGCGGAGGGATGCCACCATGCACGAGGTGAGATGAAACAATGTAGTGAAGTGTTCACAGGTTCTCAGTGGCTACTGACAGTGGGTGCTGTGCGCTGCGATAAGGATGCACCAGTCTCAGTCCATAGAGGTACTGTGCCTGTTTCTTAGGAAGGCACTCCCCAGCTGCGAGGGATCATAGAATCACAGCATGTTTTCGGTTGGAAGAGAACTTAAATACCATCTGGTCCAACCCCCCTGCCATGGGCAGGGACACCTCCCACCAGACCAGGTTGTCCAAAGCCCTGTCCAACCTGGCCTTGAACACTTCCAGGGAGGGGGCATCCACAACTCCAGTGCGTTGGGTTTTGAGAGTGAAGGAAGGTGCGTGTGGAATACCTCTGTGCACAGAGCCTTGCTCACCTCCAAACAACCTTTTCCCGCAAAGGGAGCAGTAATCAAGCTCTGTTCATTACAAATTTGCTGACCTTGTTAAGGGAGCCACACTGCTCTGCCTGTCACAAGGCAAGCTGTCATGACTCTGGCCTCCAGCCAGACAGCCCATGCAATATGAACTATGGGAGAGGTTTTTTTTCTTCTTCTGGCTTTTAGATATGACTATTTTAGATATTTGACTTGAGACTTTACCATATGGGCAGCAAAGGTACAACCATTAAGCTACCTCACCCAGGACTTCTCTGCTGCCAAAATTATTCTTTTATTAGTCTCTAGATAAACCTCATTTTTCTGCAGAATGCATTATGGTGACTTTCTCTCTCCCTCTGTCTCTGCTGCACACGCATGCACACACTCACACATATACACACACCCCAGTTCACCTCAGTTCCTGATACATATGGGTTTAAAGGGACTACCTGTAAATAGTTTCAACATATTTCTCTGTTAAGGATGAGGGGATGGAGGAGAGAAACTGCACTGAGTATACCCACATGGGACTAAATATGCCCTTTATATCCCAATATGATTTAGTGAATTATAGTTCCAACAGACAGCGTTATGCACCTACTTACATACCCTAGCTGGGATGAAGAGTGCAGGAAAAAGCTACATCGTGTCCAGTGTTGATCATAATTCTAGTTTTAGTCTAAGTAACAAATTACTATTGTGGAATTTATTGTTATTATTATGGAACAAGATAGAAGCATGAGAAATTTAGGTCAGATTTAAATAATTAAACTTGTCCCTTGACAAATATGCCAATGTGCTTACCAATCCGTGGTAGTGGCAAAATTGCTCCAGCTGAATTTAGACCTGCAAGGGACACAGTGGTCACCACAGCAGCTCCTGGGCTGTTGCAGTTCACTGATGGGGCTGTCTGCTGTAAGACAGAGGACAATAAGTCTTGTTCTGCTACTGAATACTCCTAGCTTTCTAGTCCTTTCTAGTCCTTTAGGTCTGGGTAATGGATTAATTTCCGGCTGATATCTGACCGACCAAAGAGAGGATCTCATTCTGTTTCTGGTTTAGCAACATACTTCAGCACATACTTGATATTAAGCACAGACTGAAGTGTCGCTAATGGAACTAAAATGCCATTTTTTTCTGAATGAGGAAGGATTGCTTAAATTCTCAGTGTTACACATGTGCCTAAGTATTTTGTTAATCTGAAGCTAGTTTGAACCAGAAAGTC